ATGAACAGAGGAGGGGGAGAGACGAACAGAGGAGGGGGAGAGACGAACAGAGGAGGGGGAGAGACGAACAGAGGAGGGGGAGAGAGATGAACAGAGGAGGGGGAGAGAGATGAACAGAGGAGGAGGAGAGACGAACAGAGGAGGGGGAGAGACGAACAGAGAAGGGGGAGAGACGAACAGAGGAGAAGGAGAGACGAACAGAGAAGGGGAGAGATGAACAGAGGAGGAGGAGAGACGAACAGAGGAAGGGGAGAGATGAACACAGGAGGAGGAGAGATGAACAGAGGAAGGGGAGAGATGAACAGAGGAGGAGGAGAGATGAACAGAGGAGGGGGAGAGAGATGAACAGAGGAGGGGGAGAGACGAACAGAGGAGGAGGAGAGACGAAGAGATGAGGGGAAAGAAAAACAAAGAGACGAAGTGGGAGAGATAGAGAGACAAAGACATGCGGGGAGAACGAAGAGGTGAGGGAGAGAAAGACAAAGATGTGAGGGAAGGAAAAACGAGGGAGGGGAGAGAAAGACGAAGAGATGAGGTAGGAGAGCATCGAAACATGAAGGGAAGACACGAGTAGATGGGGAGAGGGAGAAACTAAAAAAAGAGGGTTTGGGAGAGACGAAAACACGGGGACGAGATGACCGGGGAGAGACAGAAGCAAAACCAGACAGGCAGAGCAGAGGGAGTGCGTGAGGTAAAGAACGCGCACACACACCACACGCACGTACGCACGAACGCACACACACACACACGCACACACACACACACACACACACACACACACACACAGACACCGTTTACCCATAGTGGCGTAAACAGGCACTGCAGCGAGAGAAAGAGAGAAAGCACGAGTGGGAAAGGGAGAGACAATTAAATGAGAAATTGGGTGCCTACCGCAATGTTGGGCTTCCTAAAGAGGCTTCTCTCATGATCAATGGACCCATACGAATTATTAGGCGAACAAGATTCAACGATTTTATTAGATCACTGCTATCAGATTCTATACGTAAACAGACGCGTGAGTAAAAATCACACTCCTCGTGACCTGCTACCTTGTTTACCTGTAGGGAGTTTCCCTGACCCCGTTGCAATACTGTCATGATTCGTCATGCTTGTTGTCGGTATCACGACACTGTGTGTGTGGGAAGGGATTTTCCAATGTGTATTCTAGATCATTCGTTCAAACACAGCTGTTTACGTGAAGGCAAGTCGTGACCCATGAAAAGTCCATGGATCGTATAGTAGGTACAGTAGTGTCATCTTGCATTTGTTTCCGGCATACGGTTATTAATTTCGAAGTTCCAATTCAATCTTCGTACTGTGCGATGGTGTAATTGCCTTTGAACGTTATTGCCTTGCCGAGAATCTGGGAGATCTTCTTCTACAATTAAACAATCAACTGCGTCGTCGATGGAAATTCTGGCCTGACGGGATTAGGACGTTTTTGTTGCATGCGTAGTGTGCGAGTAACAGTGAGGCGTAACAATGATCATAATAGTGATGCACAATTGATCGCGTTTGGACTGACCTGTGGAATTTTTTTTACCGTTTCTTTCGCAGCTGGTGTTTAATCGTACGGTGACGCTGCGAGAAGATTCGGCAAAGAGTTGAGCACCATCTATAGTCTGCTTCACGAACTCATGCCATGCCAGGAACCACAGAGGAACAATGAATTAAATGTGTAAATCTTTAATTGTCACTTATATTTTATCAGAACTGTCTGAATCATCATAGAGCTCACATTACTACTAAGTAAATCATGGAGCTAAGTTTCTTTCTCATGCAATTAGCCAATTAATTTCTGATAAATTACAATTATTACACAAAGTATATCTTGTTTTCGATTTTGCTTAATGATTATATCAGAAGTGCAAGATAGTATGAGTAGACACTTGGGTGGCAGGTGAAGGGGAAACAAATACATCCAGATTGTAAAACTTCTGCAATATTGGGCTGACGTCTAGTCTATTCGTGAAATGTACCACGAACGACAAGTTTATTGCTGTTTATAACCCCAGGTGAGGTTATCCACCACTCTCAGCAAATGTGTCCCTATCTTTACGTGTACTGTGTGCCGAGCATGTGTACGTTCCTGGCAGACTTGTCATCTTTGACTATACACCGTCTTGGCAAGAGACTGACGTATACAACCCCACCCCCTTCTCGCACCTTGAAATTAGCGTCACAGCTGGCACATTACGCTGTCGCGCCGCTAGACTTCCCCTCGCCCTCAATTTGGCCAGCACTCCACGTTCTCGGCGACGTACGGCGTCAGTCTATCACTCTACGTGTCGATATACACGCCGGTGCTCACGTACGTTTCGTCTGCTTCACCTTCTCACCGCCCCCCTCGTCGCTGTTCGTCTGCTCTTGCGCACACAATGGATCGAGAGCGTTCCATTTTTCGAACTCGGTTAATTGTCAGCGTCGGCGAAGGTCGACGCACGGAATCGCGGCGAAGTTTTCCAAACGAGAGGGAAAGTGTGTCATCATGTCAGCTGAGCGGTCACGCGGTGTGCATGCGCGAGAGAGTGCGTGGTGGTTGACAGAGCAGAGGGTGAGAGATACGAAGAGATGAGGGGGGAGACGAACAGAGGAGGAGGGAGAGATGAACAGAGGAAGGGGAGAGATGAACAGAGGAGGGGGGAGAGATGCACAGAGGAGGGGGAGAGATGTACAGAGGAGGGGGAGAGACGAACAGAGGAGGGGGAGAGAGAAGATAGATAGATTGATGGATGAATGGATAGATAGATAGATAGATAGCTAGAATATATAGATGGATAAATAAATACAGATATACGTGTATTGTCAACCCGGCTGAATATATAGCCGTAAGAATTAAGAAGCGGCATCGGTGATGGGCCCGTATGCTCTCCATTTCTAGCGATCCTGTTCGAATGAGGTGAAAAATACAAGCATGTCAGACGCCGGTGCGGTTACCATGCAGAAAAACAAAACAGCAAGGAAGAGAAAGATGAATTTAAGTAAGGGAGGGGGGGAGATACTGCGAAAGACGCGCAGACAGACAGTCATGCAGGGAGGCAGACAGACATACAGGAAAACCGACAGACGGACGGACTGACAGACAGTCAGACAAATAGACAGACAGACAGACAGACAGACAGACAGACAGACAGACAGACATATGAAAAATAATACACATAGAGGGGCACACGGAGAGTTGGGGGGGGGGCGTTAGCAAAAACGAGCGAGGGGGAGAGATACGCGGGGCGCACCGAGAGTGAAAGCGCTTTTCAGTGAAAGTGTGTCATTGTGTTAGCTGGTCACACGAGCGCCTAGAGATCTGTGTCTATATGCACCAGGAAGCACGGCGGCAAGATCAGCATATAGCCTTCGTTACGTAAAATGGGGCGCTCTCTCTCTCTCTCTATTTCTTTCTTTCTCTTTCTCTCTCTCGCGTTCTCTCAGGGTATTCAAAGTCACCTAGAGATAGGGGGAGGGGGAGAAGAGAGGGAGAGCGCGCGGTGCAATCATATTTACGATGTGCCTATAGATATAGATATAGATACATACGTATGTGTGTATTGGCATATAGATGTGCCTACCAATACATAACGTTCTATTTGTACAGAATAACATAACTCACACTGCCTCCAAACGTCCGTCTGCTGCGCGCACAAGGGGAAGTTACATTAGTGCGCGTCAAGGTTTATTCGTTTTCTCTCGAAAGGACGTTTCTGTACTTTCTCTTTCTCTCTCTCTCTCTCTCTCTCTCTCTCTCTCTCTCTCTCTCTCTCTCACTCGTCCTAATGGTCTCACACAGCATATCATATATTATATATCCGTGACGCAGCAGGCTATGGACAGCCCAGGGCATGCGGTAAGCGTGTGTCCATGCAATCGGCACGGTATTCAATCAATAATGGGATCAGTCGACGCATTTCACAGACAGTGCTCGTATGTGTCGGATAAGCGGGCCGTCATAGTAAAGCAACGAGGAGCGCTGTTCTACTTATTCTCGGCGTTGAGGGAAGGTGCGCAAGCCCTGCGGGCTAAATGCCGGGACGCAGCAGTTTTTCAGCTTTCAGGTATTTTTGCGGACTGGAATGGGGGCAGATTTATGCAGTAAATAGGGCAGAGTCATCGCGCAATGCACAGGCGACGCAGTACGCAGTACGTGCACGCCCCGACCGTAACATAACATAACATAGCATAACATAACGCGTGTCCTTGCGCTAAAGCGAAAACGCGAACTAAACTAACTATAAACTAAACTAAAATAAAATAAAATAAAATAAATCTAACAAAATTGCAACGCTATGCCCTACGTGCTAGCGCGCTTGCTATGCTGAAGTAAACGCGTTCGTAGGATAAAACTTCATTTTAAGAAACGCGCCCAACCGCCACTAAAAGACGAATAACCCACACCATCACAAACAACCACGATAATGATCAGTCAAAATACAACACACAACAACTGTGCAGCATCGACATAGCTTAGCATTCACTCGACACCTCTAAGAGGAATTTATATAATCACATCTCCGCGCATGTCCGCGCGGTACTATACAAGTAACGCTACCATACGGGCTCTATGTTTCCCAGGGTATCTGACGAACGTTTACCCACCCTGGGATACGGTCCGGTATACCGGAACCGTACCCACTGGACATCCATAATTACATATTTTGGATAATGGTTCAGGGAGTTACAGCCATAGGGTTAGGCACGAGCTTAACAGTCAGTACCACGACCAATAGGCAGCTCCCTAGACTCGTTAGTGGAGTAGGCGAGGTACGCAGACTTCGGCACTCATAATATAGTACACACAACGGTACGCCCCGGTAATAACAGAATACGTACCCAGCGAGAGGTAATGTTCGGAAGTACCCAAACGAGCACCGGGGTACCATGAGACGCGCGGAACGATATCAGCACGATTCTATAAAGTAAAAACCGCGTCTCCATTTCATATTGAAGTCACAGTTCACATCAATGCCCGTTATATCTATCAATTAGAGCCTCAAAGATCGAAATCTGAGCACGTAACCGAGCTACTATCACTCCAAACTCATCGACGACAAAGCAATCGATGCAATTCGGGACCAACGTATGTATTTGCGCGCCTCGTGCTGTGCACGATCGCGGTGTCTACCCTTGAGAAATGCGGCAGGTAATTCGTGAGTGTGTATGCATTTCGCCATGACCAGCGTAGAAGCTTGGCTAAACCCAAGAACCCGCGTTAACACTACTAGCCAGCGCAAAGCTTCAGCGCTGAATTACGACGTAATTATATCTGGCAGCAACCTGTAAGAGTTTAAATCAGCAAATAGTTGTTGCTCGTGCGGCGTAAATATTGACGCTGGCTAATCCGTAGTGAAAGTTTAGCCGATGAATGCGTGAAGCGAAATCAAACTTCTACGCCAACATTCGGCGTAGGCACACCAATTTCACTATATTGTCAAACTCACATTACTAACACCCTATACATATCATAAACTACATCAATCAAATAAACTAAATAACTATGCGATATTGGTAGTGCAGCGCAGATCTGCGATGTAGCGTCTACAACAACGACGCTAGGCTGAAAGATGCATCAGAAGACCTAAGACATCGGCGAAATGTCCTGCTTAGATGTAGTCTTTCCGACTCTACAGACATCGCCATTCCACATCATGATTCGGCAACGATACGCAAGAAGCACGACAGACTGGCGGTCGAGCCAGCACATCAGCAGGTCAGCAAATACTAGGCAACACGGCCAACGGCCGGCAACCATACATACCAATCTAGCAGCAGCAGCGGAGACATCGGATATGTCCATATAGCATCACCCGACAAATCCCCAACAACCAATCCCATACATTCATCACTACGAGACCGGCAATAGGAACGCACGACAGCATGACCCATAACGACACGCAGCAGATCAGCACAGAAAGCAACAGCAGAGGCACCACCATCAGTAGCGAAGCGACAAGCGACCACAAACATGCATTTATCACTTTCGTTCTTTATACGATGAGTACTATACGATTCCACTGAATGCGAAAAAAAATTAGTTTAAAATTAGCACAAGTATTGACATTTAGCACATACTCTACACGACAAAGCACAGCCGCTGAGCGATATACTCTCACTGGCGATCATATCAAACTAGACACGCAATCAGAAGACACACACAAGATTTTTGTATGCTCATAGAGCTGAGACATGCGAGAGTAATAACAAGTGGGGAAGGCCATCGCAAGGGGAGAACATCACAGACGAGCCGCCTAAGGAAGCCGAGCAACCAATTCCGCGCCTAAGCTCCCGAATAGAATAGATTTCGACCAGCTTCCATAATATGCCTATTATATCCGTAACCCACTATCAGCACATGCTCCTTGGTTACTACCTGCTGTCTGCTTGTCTGTCTGTCTGATCGTCCTGCTCAGTCCATGTCTGTCTGTACTGTCGGTGTATGTCCTGGCTCTGTTTGTCTGTCTGTCTGTCTGTCTGTCTGCTCACTGTGCGCCAGTGGCGTGTACAGGATTTGTACAGGGGGGGGGGGTCTCACCGTACCTTCAAACTTGCGAGCACGCAGAAGAGGGGGGTCTGGCCGGGCTCTTCCCAAGGCACATTTCTTTTGAAATTATGACCCGCTTGGAATGCCACGCTTTTCTCCGACACACTGCGCGAGCAGGGGGTTCCGGACTCCCTGGACCCCCCCCCCCGCTGTACACGCCCTTGGCACAGAGCAGACAGACAACAGAACAGAGCAGACACAAAAGACAAGCAGCGAAGCCACAGACAGACCAGACAGACAGACGAGCGAACGAGCCCAACAGTAAACAAGAACCACGCACGTAAGGCCAGTTACAGGG